AAAACAGGATATTAAAAAGCCTAATTAGATGGTCATAGTAATTGGGTCTACTCAGTCTGTTTCTCTCCTGATGGAAATACATTAGCTTCTGGTAGTTGGGACTAATCTATCCGTCTATGGGATGTAAAGACAGGATAAGAAATTAAATCCTCTGATAAAAACTACAAAGATATTCTTGCATAATTTAAGATTCCACTCTAATAAAATAGTGCAATATAAGAAGGTAATATTAATTATTTTTGATATTTTAGCATCCAATTACATCACTACACTCCTAATATCTTAATCCGCTATATTCTAAGCTAAAGGAGCACTTGTTCTCAAAGGAGAATTCATTAATCATCAAGGAATTGATTTGAGACCTTTATTGAAATCCAAAGGTAGTTGTATTTTAGAAAACCAATTAGACTGCAATAAAAAATGAAAATGATTTAATAAGTCATCATAATTTATATCCATATCAACTCTATCAAAATTTTGTTCATCATTATTTTTTATCTCTTTAAATAGTCAAGTTAACTTTTTCTACTCAATGCATTTTCATCATTTCTTAATATTCTCTATTAAGAAAATAGTAAAATTGTAATCATGTCCTATTATTAATTATAAATTTTTAAAATTATTAATTTGTAAATACTAAATTTGTTATTATTAAGTATTAAATGGGTATTTTTTCAAAAATAAATATTTGAGTTACCAAATTAATTGGAATTTCAATTTCAATTTCAATTTCCTATCATTTTTTTCTATAAATGTTGTTAACAATTCCAATTCAGTTAAATCAAAAGAAAAAGCTAGCCATTTCAATTCTTCCTCTACATATTCAAAAATTATTTTATATCTTTAAGATGTGATCAATACAATAGAGTGTGACTTCTTTATAATCTTGTCCTAGTCTATGTCCAACTTTAAGACAATTCATAATCGATTCCTCTTTTTAAAAGGTTTAAATTCTTTGTATGTTAAATTGGAATATAAAATTTTTTGATTCAGGTGAAAAAAATACTGCTTTTTACTTCTTCTAATTAACCTGTGAACGATTTCTATTATACATAATCTTATTTAATGAATTTACTTCAAAGTATCTTGGTTTGTTGCAAATTAAAAGATACTATAAATATCTTCTGCAAAATGTTCATTTAGATATTTATGTATTGTTCCAACTTGAAACATTGGTATCATGAATAGATTCTCTTGTTAACAATTCGTTTATTGTTAATCGTCTAGGTTCTGACATTGATGTAAATGGAAGTGTTGATCTACTTGATACTGAATATTTTTTATAGTATTATATAGTCTATTTACTTACATTAAGGATGTAAATTACTTATCTTGTTTTTGTTTAGCTAATGATGTCATAATAAGGATATGACATCAATATTTTAAAAGTATAATTTAAGTCAACTCCAAATATACTGGAAAGTTCTGGAGTGTCTATTATGTTAAGTAGTTAAATTCTTTCTTGGTTGCTGATGTAAGGTGAATATTAACCATGAAAAATGATAAATTTTTTAAATTTATTTTTTCAATTAGTTCCTTCTAAATTTCCAATTGATATTCTCTCTCACTAATGATATTCTTCTTAAATAGTGAAAGAGTGAGTCATATTTTAAATTTATTGCAGTTCCTTATCAGACGCAACTTACTTTCCGTTCCCTTTATGTATAAGTTCCACATAAGGAACTTTATTTGTAAACCAAATGTATTTAGAAGTATTGAAAAAAAATTATTAAAAATGGCCATACTGCAATTAAATTTTTTAATATTTTGGTAGTTATATGATAGATTCCATATTTAGAAACTTAATTGTTCTAATTTTTATTTTTCCATCTATTCAACTTAAAAATTGACAAATATAACTGTTTCCATAATAAATATACTAAAATAAGTGTGGTATTGTACTTCTAATATATAGATGAGATCTCCTCTTGCGTTCTCCAACTAGATTACAAATGGATCTATCTTTGGGTCAAAGATACTTATTATTTTAAATGAATTCATTGGTATGACGAAAAATGAAATTGTGAAATAAATATATTAATTTTAATGGAAGATTTAAGAAAAATTTTTATTTTACATAGAAAGACTAATCATCAGCATCCTCCAATTTAATAACTAATATTGAGTTTTTTCAAAATATACATATATACCTATTAAATATATAAAGAGATATTGGAAATCGATAATGGAGTCCTTTTTTGTTGTAAATCCTTTTTTCAGGGTTATTAGGATTTACATTAAGAATTCTACTTGGGAGGGCTAATAAAAACATAATTTCTCCAGCTTAAAGACTTTATTTTACTTTATTATTCTATATTACTAATCACTATCAATCGTATTATACGCATTAGAAAAATTAATAAATATTACTACTTTTCTTTCTTGTTTTTATATTTACTTAAGTTCAATAACCATTTACATTGTAAATTTTCGCTTTCAAAATTTCATTCTAGAGGAAATTTGCTAGTTGTTCATTAGAACTGAGTTCTATTAATTAAAAGGTGGACTCTAGAATTAAAATAGATAGAAATTTTATGATCATTATAATAAAATTCATTTAGCAATTTTTTATTTTGAATAACTTTTAAATCTTATTTACATAAACATTAATAATCATTAAATCTGCAATTTAGTTTAACGCTTTTGTTTAAATAAATTTGATATATCTAGAGAGTTATAATCTCTATGTATACCAGTAATTATATCACCAGAATGGGTAAGGATTCCTTATTTCTTTTAAGCATAAAATGTAAGCATTTTTGAAACATTGAGTTTCAGTTATTAACTAACTTATATTCCACTTTTTTATATTAATTTAATTTTCTTATGCGTGTTATTTGTGAAGGAGTAAATGTTTTTGTTCCTTCCAATAATTTTATCTCTCTCCTTTTAAATTTCTTTCTTTTTACTTTTGTTATCATTTATTTTCACCTAAAGACATCTTTTATGTTTGATTAATAGGATTAATACTAATTGTATGGTCCTTTTTTTAATTTTTATAAAAGAATTACTCTTCAAATTGTTCCTATTGTTCCTTGCTGGAATCTGAGTTAATTTCATTTTAGAAATTTTATTCGTTTTAATTTTTAAATTATCTGAATATTTGTGCCGAAATAATCAAAAATTTTAATTAAGCATTCAGGATTCATTATTTTTATCACCTCTAAAGGTGAATTCTCTATTTTATAGATTTTAATAAACTTTTTATACATATCTGTTATTATAAATCGATTTGTTTATTGTATTTTCCTTTTTCCAGTAATTTCATACTCTTGTATAATTAATTGTTCTTTTAAAGTGATATTTAGCTTTGATTATCTCATCTATAAGTTCTTTTTCCTAAAGATTAAACATATAAATAGATATCTCTAGGTTCTTATAAAATTCTCTATTTTTCCCAATACAACTAATCCATTTCCTTTTAAATTATGCCCTCATTTCTCAAAAACTTTATATTGAATGGTGTTTTAATCTAAACAATCCAAAGTGCCTAAATGAGTTAATCGTTTTTATTTTGTTATTAATGAGTGAATTATTGAATTCAAATTCATGTATGAATTTATTTATATAATTATTAATATTTGAGTATTAAGTGATTATTTCATTTTTTTGTGTCATTAATGAAGATAATAATTTTCTAAATATTAGCAATAAGATTTAGAATACTAAAAATGTAGGTTGATCACTGTTTTTACCACCAAATTATCCATAATTAAACCAAAATGAAAAGTTTGACTCTACAATCCCTCATCACATTATAAATTAAAAATAACCGAAAAATAATCGAATTTTGATTGATAAGTTTTAAATGTACAATATTATGAACCTGGCAAGAAACCACATTTTTATCCATCAAGAAGATCTCCTATTAAGTTTATTTTTCAGATTAGGCATAAATCTTCATCTTTAACATCAAAATAGAAATTCTTTTAAGCTTTTTTAGACAAACATAGCCAACTCTTGTTCTTAAAACAAAATTAAAAACTTTAGATATATAAAAAGGGTAATAATTCCAGGTCCCAGAATAATTAAACATAAATTAATCTAAATGTTTCAATTAAAATTATTAAGATTTCCTTGTAAATTTCTAACTATTCCAGATTTCCCAAACCAATAGATATATTTGATCAAGTAACAAAACGAGATATAAAAAAAGAAAAAATCATTAAACAATGTTCTTTACTCTGATCATAATTGACCGAAAATATAATGAGTTATTTGTACAATTATTTTTTATATTAATTGAATTTTCGTTCAATTAAGTCTTTTTTTTCAATTTCGCCATTACAGTGAAATTTATCTCCTTTGACTATTCGAATTTATTTAAATAAAAAAATCTCATTGAGCAAATTATATATATAGATTCAAGTTTCTTATCAAATTCAAAACAAATATGATATTTAATTTCTGAATTGTTATTTAATGATAAAGACTAGTTATATTAAAAGATTTTGCAATTAAATGAATTTGTAAATTTTTTAATTATATAAATTATATTATTATTCATTAAATGGGGCTCATCTTAATTCTTAAAGACTGAAATTTTTTAGATTTGGCAATTTTAGTTTATCATTGAAAAACTTATTGTTATTCTTTCTATATAAATTATTCATAATGACCAATAAATCATGTGATTATTTATTATATGCAATCATCCACATATCACATTTATTACATTAATATACATTCCAATCACTATACAATGAATTATTAACTAAATTATGATTCGATCCCATAGAAGATAACAAAATTTATATCTTGCTTTCTTATCTAATCGACCCTTTATTAAAAGGACCTATAAGAAAAGCATCAAAATCAATTTATCCCCACTTAATGAATTCCCATGATATTTTATATCGTTTCTAAAATAAAAATTTATATTACTCTCAAAAATTTCAAATAATGTGAACATCCTTTAGTCATTCCTGCCCCTCCATTACATAACATATTTCCATGACAATGACATTATTAAATCTACGTTCGTTTTTCATCATTGAAATCTCTTTTTAGAATGAATGATACACAACCACAGATGCATTGTAATCGAGGATAAGTTAATAAATGTTGGGTTAATTGATTGGAATAAATCGATAATTTATTTAAAATAGGTAGATTTGAAACATTAAAAAATAGTAGTTAGTTGTTAAAGATGTTGTGAACTTCGTAAGCATTTAACCTAAAAAAATAACATAATGTCAAAAGCAAGGCTTCTCTCAAATAAGATGAGTGATTTTCCACAATTATAAGTTTGCCCTTGTGAAGAAGAATCAATCTTAAGTAATCGAGCATGTGAGGGACAAGTTAAGCAGCCTTGACATAATTTGGTAATTAAGCAATATTTTCTAGAGAGAAGATAATATATTGAAATTTGTTAATATCCTATGCTTTTAATTACTAAGTGTCAGAAATCACATTTGTGATTCCTACTTCAATCAGCCTAATTTATATGAAATTTTTTCATACTTTTCTTAATTTTGTTTGAAATAGTTTTGATCGCAAATGAAAATTTCTTAAGTAACTTTAAAAAAGGATAAATGAATAGGTTAAGCTTATTCTATGGCAACTTATTTGTCATTGTAATAAACCAGTTTATGATAATCTTCAAGCAATATTTCAAATGATTTTGTGTTAAGTAAAGTTTATTGAGTTATTTTTTATTAATTATTAGTTACTAACAATGCATGAACATGTTCAAATCTTTTCAAAACACTTTCTATATTAGGTCTATGCTTCTAATCTCTAACAAGGACATATTTCAAGAAATCAATGATATAAACATTATTTCCGAGAAGCTAATATATTAACCCGAAAATACTTTTTATTTATCTTCAGGAATTAATTATTCAGTTGGTTATGTGACTTGTAGATAAAATTAAGCCCATTCTTTTTAAAAAAATAATAATTCCCCTGTCAATATTTCAAATAATAAGCAACCAAGAGACCATACATCAGAAGATCTAGTTGTTCCTACTTTTTTTCTCCTATCATATGTATCTTATTCTTTTTTTGAATTTATAGTCAAGGTTAGCATTTCGGGTGACTTTATATATTCTGTACCCCTATTTCTAACACAGTATTCATCTTCTTCATTAATAAATATGCTAGATTCTCCAAAATCAGTAAGAACAACGTGCATACCATCTAGCAAAATGTTATCAGCTTTTATGTCATAATGTGTAACATTATGATTGTGCAACATTTATACAGCCTATAAAACCTCCTTATACAAACTCAAATAGACACCTAAATTATCCTAAAAGAATCCTTTCTGTTATTATCGCCATTCTTTTAATGATAATGGATATTTCTTCATTACGATTATATAGTCACTTGAAGTTACACCATAATCATAGAGAGTGGCAACTTGAGGGGTCAATCTGAAATTTTCCATACATGCTATTTCTGTAAATAGTCCATGAAGCACACATCTCTTAAATAAATTAAATTGAATTATTACTTCATAAATGCTTTTTGGTGTTCCCATTTATTTTATGGCTACAAAATCGGGTTCTTGCAAATTGGTTTTGCATTGATAGATAACTCCGTAAGCACCTGATGCAATTTTCTACCAATCAGTATATTATGTTATATCAAAAAGTGAAATACACAATAATTTTAACAATCTTATAATCTTAATATTTGTGATTTTTTATAAAACTAATTTTATTACTTTTTAATTTTAAGGATGATTAAGATGATAATGCAATAAATATAAAATGTTTGGTTTTCCATTAATTATTGGATACTAAGAGCAATACAAATCGTCTAATGTTCCTCGAATTGGTTTTATTAATAAGCAAATTAATAAAGATAAACAATTAGCGTGTAATTCTTCATCTGAATATATTTTTCTTAACTTTCTTTCACTAAAATAGAATAACTCATCTTTTGGTTAGTTTGAAAAATTTAATTTCAATTATTGCTATTGCTCTTTCTCTTGTTAGGAATTTGGTAAATTTAATTTAGGGACTGCTTATTTCTTATCACTACTATTTGGGTTTATATTCTTTTGTAATAACATTCTTCTTTAACTTTCTGTTAATTAAGCTTGAATACATATTTCTGATTTAAATGGCATTGAATTACCTCTTTTATGATTGTATAAAACGTCATCAGGGCAGACTTTTTGTAATACAGTTAAATTCTACTATTGCTTCGCTGATGTATTAAATTATGGACTATGGCTATAAGATTAACTTGAAATATTAATCTATTTCAGTTTCCCTTCCAAATCCAAGGTTGGCACTAAAACCTTTTTTAATAAAATTTAACTATTTTTTTTAGCCTGCTTTTTGTCCTCTTCTTGTATTTCTTCTAGTTACTATTTATGGATAGATTATAAATTTAACTTTACATTAGGCCTATCACTAATTTTGGAACTCAATCTCTCATTATTACTGGATGAATCAACTTAATTATTTTACTATTTAATTAAGAAATCAATATTAATTTACTTCCTGTTGTAATAGCGAGGAGTTATTTAATGGTTTTTCTCTTATTTAAGTAATGTCAAACTCTAAATCTATTTCTTAAGTGAGAAACTCAACTATTCTATATTAATAAAACTTTCTTGAAATATCTTCACTCCTATTTTGGGCTATGCAAAACAAACACTTAATGTAAAGGTTCATAAAAATTTGGCTTAATTATTTTGATTATTTTTCATCCTGTTTTTAACTAGGTTGCTATTTCTAATTAACTTCTTAAATTTTCAAATTTATTTCCTTCATGTCATTCAAATTACTTTAAGAATACAATTTTATAAAGTTGACATAGCAATATCTAATCATAAAAGTTGACAATTCTTCATTTGGATATTAAAACGATAATCCTATAACTTCAAATGCTTTTTTGTAAACCTAAACCCTTATCACTTAAGGTTTCTGTAATAAATAAGTATGCTGCTCAACGAATTTTTGGAGAACTTTCAACACCTAACTTAAAAATCCTTAAAATAATCTCACCTGTTATTTATATTCTTTGTCATGTTTCTAAAATAGCAATAGTATAGATTCATAAAATAATAATATTCTCATTGCATGTATTTCAAAACCCTCTTCCTTATTTGAGTTTAATTCTTAAAATATATAACTACTAAAATTCTTGATCATCTCCAAAAAGATTTCATTTACATACACATTTAGTAGGAATTTTATGGAAGAATCATTTATTGCTCTCAATAACAATCTTGATATAATACTGATGTATGTTGAGATAATTTAAGGGTACTTTTGAATGAATGGTTTTTAAGATTTAAATTTCAATGTAGAATACTATTATTGTTATTATTATTATTAGTGCTATTAGGATGAAAAATTTAATTAAGATGGTTAAAATTATTATTGTTATTAAAATAATTGAGTTTGAAGTTAATTTGATTTTTAATCTGGAGATGTATCAAATATGTTGATTGGTTTGAACATATTGGTTATAGTTTAAGAATAATGTTTGGCTGATTTGGATATGTATTGTGATTGATTAGGGGTTCGAGATGAAGATTGTTGGCAATTAATGATGTCAATTATTTATCTCTTTATCATAACTAAGATCTCAATCATGTAGTCTAAGAATTAAGGCAACAAAATTCTGTTGTGAGTATAACTCAAATATTTCTCAAGAATTGCTAATAAATCATATTCCAACTCATAAAAAGCATTTTTATTCATATCCATAGTACTAAGAATAAAATTGAATCGGTATTAAATATGCTTTAAAAAGGAGAATTAGGTTGTATTTGAATGTCGATAATTACAAACCACTTTTTCTAATTCATTTTTCACTGGAATCATCATTTCTGGAATATTTGCAACTGTGTGGGGAGACTTTTTATATATTTTAATTATCATACTTCTATACTTCTTTCTGATTCATCATTTTCAAAAGACTATTCTTTATATGAATCTTATTACAATTTAATATGTTATTGATCACAATTGAACAAATCTAAAATTAAAAAATATACCTTCTATTCACTTATTAATCCATTGTCTTGTTTGATTTTGCTTTAATCACATAATTATTTTTTTTGGTAGATCTCAGTGTCAAAATCTTGGTATATTTATTTTGATGATATTTTATTTTTCTAAAAGGAGCTCGAACATAAATAATTTAAAATTGTTGAGTATGGGCATAATTCGTATTGAATTTTCTTAATATCCTTCAGAAGGAAATAAAGAATATTTCCCCAAAGTCTACAAATCTTACTTTTTTAAGTTTTGTTTTATTCATATTCCAAAGATTCAGCAAGGGTATCCTCTCCTTCTTTTTAAATATTTGGCCATGTGTTAATTCCCAATCTTTTTAATGACTCCAACTGTTGTCTTCTTTGTTTCAATAATAAATACGATAGATCTTGTGTCAAACAATAGCTACCTAATAATTATGCCAAATTTTATAATCTAAAATAAATATTTGATATCTTACTTTTCTTTTGCATTTAATTTACTAGACTAATCCTCTTCGATATGAATAGCTTAAGAACCACTTGTAAATTTAATTGCAGAATCAATCGAATGTGAGAATCTATTAGAACATGTCGAATATGATTTAAAAGGATCAGCTCTTCTTGTTGATCTTGTCATCACACCTATTATTTCTAAACTATTTTGTGGTAATTTTAAAGGAGGTATTTTGAAATTCTTGTTTTATTATCTTGAAGGTTCTACTTAAAAAGAATTTTCTTAAATTGATTATCTTGGTTAAATGTTATTTTCTTTTGAATAAACTGTTGGATAATGTGTCAATAAAAATTTAGTAAAATTCATATGAAAGTCTCCTGTGGTACTGAGTTTGGATAATTTCATATATATCGAGTTTGGAGTTGTTAGAGCATTTTCAAATTTTTCAATAATTTCTGTTAAATAACTATATTATATTTTATTTATTACCCATCCTCATAGATTTATTATTTTAACCCAGAATTCTACAAGCATTTATAAAACAACATTAAAACATTTATACAAGAATGTTCATCTAGATGATCCAAAATCGAATTAATAATTGTTCTATTTTCCATTTAACCAAAAATGTCATAAATCTTTTCAGAACATTGTTAAAATAAGTTTTTAGGCTTCTGTGTAAGACTTTCCATATATTCACTCAATTTGATTTTTGTATTTTATATTGGTGGAAATTAGATCTCGCTGCTATGACATAATAATTATATTAGCTTCTTAGCAACTTAACAATCTCTTAGATTTAAATTTTGCAATAACTAAGGAGTCTCTGGAGTAAAATGATGCTGATTAAATATATTCATTCTTTTATATTAATAATTAATTTCAATAGAAAAATTAAATCATTTCACTCAATTTTCTAACTATTGCTTGTATTATAAAAAGCCTTGAAATATAATTAAATATTACTTATTCCTCCTTTCGGCTATAATTAAGTCAAAGTGAATGCATCTTAAGAAATTGTTGGAATAGAATCTGATGAGAGAATATCCAAAGCCTTAATCTTCATAAAATCACAGAAATTAGTTCCACCTTAGAGTTTTTCTTTTTCTAAAGGAGATTGTTGAATCAATTATTCATTAAAAGTTACAGTTTTCTTTTTAACTATTTCTAATTAGTTCTCATTTTATTTATCACTAAAAATAACAAAATCACTAATGTGTTCACATTCATTTACTTACATAGACTATTTAAATGTTTGATTTTCTTATTAGAATTCTATTCTAGACTGATTTTTAATATTTTAGAAATTTTATAACATTTATTCGTACCTTGATGAATTATTTGATGAATAATCTTGTTCTTGTTTATCTTTATCAACTTTATTTACTTCATCTTTATAATCACTATACCTTTAACTTTAACCAGATGATATTTTATCGCAATTTTTATTTTCTAAAATGCTTTACTAAGATTTAATTTAATTTTTATTTTTTTCACTTTCTTTTGTAATAGTTCTATTACTAGGACTTTCTTTTTAAAATGGCTTAACTAGAATTGAATTTTTCGTTCCCATAGGACTATATACTTACAATTATTTAGCAGTGCTATTATTTTAGGGACTTTTTGTTTTGTAAGTTGAACCACTATTTTAAAGTTTACTATTTTTTGATGAATTTTCTAGTGACTTAGAATCTCTAGACTACCTAGATTAAGATTGAGACTAAGATTAAGATTTCACTATCTTTCCCATAGTTTCTATTTATTCAATAACGTTGATTTCCTTTGTTACTTCATCGTTTTTTAGTCTAGTTTCTTTCTTTAAGCTTTAATTATTATTTATACATTATCTACTACTATTAAGTTAATTTTCTTCTTCATTATCATATGTTATTTCTTAATAATTATTATGATTCTATTTTTATTGTCTTGAACTATTTAAATCAAATTCAGGTTAGCAAGGAGAATTCCTTTCTGGTATAACTTAATGATTATTTTTTGGGGATTTTAATATAGTTTCTAATTATAATGGTCCAAAAGTATTTCTGCAATCTGATCCTTTTAAATAATCAAATTATTATTATTCAATGCTGCTTTCAAAAGAAACATTTATTTTTTTATTTTAATTTGCAGATATCTCAGCAGGAATAATTGATGATAAATTACTTATTGTTATTTAATTATTAACATCATCATCTGTTTCATCAGCCCCTTTCAAGTAAGCAGGTAATTTTTGCTATGTTATCTATTTACTTATATCTTAATATGCCGAGAATTTTTCTTATTGGTTTTAAAGTTAAATATATTTTGATTATTATGGCTACAATTATTATTTTTATTATTATTATGGATTGTTAACAGTGATTTTTGTTTTATTAAAATTAAAATTTTCTTAATTATTTTCTTAACTCATCTCTTACTTGCTAGTCTTTTCAATTTAAAGTTGTTGAGTTTATGCAAAAGAATTAAAATAATTTTTCTCAATTTTTGCTTCTCCTGTTTCTTAGGATTTGTTAAAATTAAATTCAATTTTTGATTATTTTGGTTATTCAAATAATGGTTTATTCTACATCAATTCTAATTGCAAATTCTTCAACTTTTACAATTCATTTTAAGAATTTAAAGTTGACAACATTTGTTTATTATTATTTAACATATTAATAGTTGATTCTTTGTTAGCTATTAGTAATTCTCTATTTCCAATCGGAGAATAACCATTTCTTGTTGTATTAAACACTGGATATTATTTTTCTTAATTATAATTAGTTGGAGATTAGAACTAATTAAAACTTTGTTTTTCTTAATTCATATCTATAGTATTAGTAACGTATTGGTCTAATTACTTTTTAGTCTTATAAAATTCATCATTCTTTTACTCAGGTACTTAATGTTAGTATTTCTAAATTGATTCTATCTTATTATTCAATCTCTGTAAATAATCAATTTATTAATTATACTTACTAATATTTTACAAGGGTGTCCTTTCATCTACTTACTATTAAGCAACTTATAACTAATATTAAGGGTCATAAGTAAATTTTTTAATTTCTTAAATTTATTTAATTTTTTGAGTTTGATCTTATCTAAGACTTTAAAAATTGCTTTATTAATCAACAAATGATTGTGATCTGTTTTAGTTTTCTAAAGATTTCAAGAAAGTTAGGTCATGTTATCTTTATTAAAAATGTTTGTTTTAGTCTAATGTTGCATTGATAAGATTTTCTTATGAACAGAAACTTTGTTTATTTTGAACCACTAGCTTTTACTATTATTATTTGATCAATTCCAATTATTGTTGTAATAATAGTGCCTAATGTTCGAGATATTTTTATTTTTTAAATTCTTATGCCTTAATATCATCGTACTTGACTTCTCTATGTTCTTATTTGATTCTTTCTGGCAATTAATTGACTTATATGATAGTATTTGAATATTTTTTTGTGACTTCTTAAATGTCTCTCAAAATATTTTGTTTCAAATTATCCACCATTTCTGACAAAGGTTCTCTTAAATTAGGCTTTTGTTGTATTCTCAAGGGACTTATGGATCCAAACCCTTTCTAATTAGTTTGCCTTATGCCAGCTATTATTCCTGGAGATTATACTCTTTAGATCGGACTCCTTTTATAGATTGGAGTGTAACAATCCTTTTGAATAACTGGTTTAGAAAATGGACTTCTAGTTGGGCTTCTCACAAAGTTTTCTTTATTACCTGTATAAACACTTTATGTTCTTTAATTTCTACTAAATTATCTGTTTGTTTAAATATTGCTTCTGTTGGAATATGAAAGGTCATTTTCATGTTAAGCAAAAAAGTTGGTTTGAAAGGGTACTTCACATAGTGGCAATTGGTGATCTGTTGATGAATTTTTTTTGATTCCAATTATCTTTTTGACTTGAGGTTAAAGTGGAGACAATCTGCCTGCAGTTTCATTAATTAGTGTAGTTAATTACTGAACTGCGATATTTGATTTTGGATTTCTGAATACAGGACTGTGACGAAGAGTATAACAGTTGTTTAGCATTATTTAAAATTAAATAGTTCATTTTTAACGTAATTCAAAGTATTTCTATACTTTCTAGTCAATCCACTAATAAAATTAGATGTTTTGATTATATTTTTCAAACCATGGGGATTTCTCAAAATTCTTGGTGATCCTTTCCATTCTTTCAAATAATTCATGTGCCATCTAGATATTGATAATATAATTACTTTTCTGGCCAAATACCCAATAAGCCAATTAGGAAGATATTTAACCTAAGGATTTGAATTAGTAATAGCACGAACTCTGCATTTATTATCATTTATAGGAGTCAATTCAAATATATAGTAATTGATGATCAAACTAACAAGTTTTTTATTTGTTTCAATATGAATGTCATGCTTTTATTGATAGTCGATATTATGATCAATAGATTTGCAAACAAAGACTATCGTTCCATTGATCATAAGCCTATCAATTCCCTCGCCAACAAATACTGCCCTTCTATCGGAAATGAATGGAAAGTAAACTATTATATCACAAATCTTGCATGTTTTAGTTAATTATTTATTCATAGAGGATCTTTGACAAAAAGGGACATAATTCTAATATAAATCGATTTCATTTATAAGGGCCATCAACTTTGTAATGTTTGCTTCAAATACAGAATCTAAATAAACAGTTACTGTTTATTCTTCCTCAAATAGTTTATATTTTATGATAAGATTTTGTGTTTATTTTTCTATTCTCCACCCTCCTGACTCTAATTCATTCAAATTCTATGTAAGTATGAGTTTTTTCTCTTGCAAATTCTCATAGAATTCCTAGTAATTTTTCTCCTTAAACCATTGAGCTTGTTTATTATTTAATTTAAGGAAAATATCTTAAGTGATCTCTAAAGCTTCATCCAATAGGGCTTCTTGATAGAGACTTTTTGCATATTCCATTCTTATTTCTAATTGATTTAACTCTTCTTATTCTGGATTAATGCTAATCTTATTTTAATGGAAGTTGTTTTTCAAATGAATTTCAGATTCAACAACTTCTAGTTCAAATTTATTTTGTATAACTTCATCCTCAATTGGATTCTCTTCTTAAATTACTTACAATTGACTAATTCTCAAACTATTTTGGACATTAGCTTAATTTTCCTCAATCATAAGACTTTCACACAATTTCACTGTTTTTTTCTTCTAAGCTGCTTTTGGAGCAAAGGATTTGAAAGTCTTAACCAATTAGACTTAAGAGGGAAAACGATCTAGAAATTTTGGATGAGATCTTACATTCTTCATATTCATTAAGCATATTGATAATATCAGGCGATTTTTCTGAAGTATCATCTAACTAACGAAGTTATTTAGATAACTAATTATAACTATTTAATTACCCTTGTATTTGAGTCGAGTTTATTAATTTGTTCTTTAAGACCTGTTTTAAAATTATAGTAGTAATCTATAATATAGGTACAATGATCAAAGGCTTAACATTTATTAAGTATTTAATCAAACTAATTTTTAACTTAGAGAATATACTTCTTTTCTAAATTCTTCATAAATGTAATCAATTGTTTGCATCTAGGATTCATCTTCATATAGTTAATTTTTCATTGAAGAGTTTATTATTTAATTAAAATTATATATGTTAGTTCTTGGAGCGAAATGAAATGTCACTTAATATTCGATACATATTATTTTAGTTAGTATTAAGTGCAGTTAAAATAAATTGAGTAATATTCAATATTATTAATTTTGTTTTATAATGAGTATAAAGCAGGTACACCCAACAAACGAAGTGGAGGAATAGAACGAATTTAAAAAGGGATTGCAGTAATTATTTAGTTATAAATGTGTATAGCTCAGTTCAAACATTCAATGATCTTAGAAGAAGAAGAATACAAGTTAGAGAAGCAACATTAATTTTATCTCCGAAACTGTAAAATTTAATTTAATATTGCTAGTCAACAATATCAGCATATGTTGCAACCAAAAATAAGTTAGTTTACAAGTTAAGATTAAATTATGGAAGAGGAAGATATTTTGGTGTTGGATGGCTTTAAAATTAAATTTAATAGGGCCATCAGAAGATTACTAATTATATTGAACTTTGCAAGAGCAATAACATACTTTTCAAAATAGAAAAATAAAAAGAATATTACTTAAAGTTCAATTTCCAGATAATCAATTCCTTTTCTTCCTCATTTAAAGTTTATACGTTTATGGAGAGAAATTATAAGTTTTAATACTGTTGTTGCAAACATAGTTTACCCTATATATATTACTTATTCTGAGTTTGATTCATATGTATGAAGTTCAGTTATACTAGGATTTTATAACGATAGTTACATTTATTATTGATTTTTTATTCTTTGTTGATATAATTTTAGAATAGATGATTTGTTAAATAGATAATAACAATATTCTCTTAAGAAAATTTTCATCTATATTTATTCATAATTTAACTGGATGGTTAATATTTGATATTCTAACAATAATTCCTTATAAATTATTTTTAGAAAAGATGGAAGATACTTTCTAATTGAGAGACTATTTTAATTTATTAAAACTAATCAGACTACTCAAATATTTCATTAAAACCGATAGAAAGATTTTGTATCATTCAGCCGATTCAAAAAAAACAGAAATCTCTATAGAAGATAAATTATCTTTCTTTGATTATTTCTCTTTAATAGATGCCAAATTATTAAGTGTATTGAACATTTTTAAAAATATGTTAATATTAATAAGTGCCTTTGGATGTATGTGGCATTATGTAAAATATTATGAAGGAATTTCTATGGGAGAAGATTATAGCAATTGGACATCATATATTGATGGATTATTCTGGGCTATATAAACAGTAACAGTAGTTGGATATGGTAATGTATCTATTTCTACTTCTATGTAATATAATCTTGTCATTGTGTGGCTATTAGTTGGAGTCGGATTTTATTCATTCACTATAGGAAATTTAGCTTAAATTTTAGAATAGTAGACATCGGCTGAAATTTAGAAAGAACACTTAGAAGATTTAGAAAACTTGATGGACTCCATTATTATTCCAGATTGGTTGTCTGATCAAGTATCAAATTTTCTGACTTACAATTTAGAAAATAATTCCTTCTGGAACTATAGAAAGTACATTTAAACTATAATAATTAGAGAATAATAGACTCTTTGCCAGGATAACTTAAAAAGTATACTATTTGCTTTTCATAACAAAAATTAATTGTAAATACTAATCTATTTAAATTGGATATTAATATAGCCTCAAAATTATTACCATATATGACTATATTCTACTATTAAAAATATGAAACTATTTATCATGTTGGTTCACCTAGCATGGATATTTATTTTCTAATTACAGGAGAAGTATAATAATATCAAAATATTACTAGGTGAGATTGTGTGATGAATAAGGTCGAAGTCTGTTAAATATAATTGAGGGAAGCATATTTGGTGAAATGGAGATTTTAGATTAAGTTAATAGAAAATAAAGTGCTATTGCTTCCAAAAATTCTATAGTCATAATTTTTCCTGTTCAAATATTTTTAGATATAATTTAGACAGATGAGAGTCTTTCTTTTGAAATTGAATAATTGGGTTTGCGAAGAAAAATACTTATCAAAGAAAGCCATCTCAGAATGAGATGTAATTAATTTACTTTATTTCTTTAGAAAATTAAAAGGTAAGAAGAGTAAGTTGTATAAATTACAAAGAATAAAGAAAACCAACAGATATAAGTAAAAATATTATGGAAAAGGAATTTAAATAAAGAGTTTCAAAAGAATCTTTTTAATTTATTTAAACTAGGATATTAAAATATATTTTCGGTAGAAATTAAGAAAGAAAATGGAGATTATTTCAGAAATTTAGAGATGTTGTTTCAAAAGTGATGAAATTTAATAAGCAAAAAAGAGAACTTAATAAAAGAAGAAGAGAAAGTTTTATAGGATTAAAGATGATTAATAATTTTAAAGGCACTACTGAAAATGAGTAGTTAATTATTAAATAAATATTTAAATTATAGAAACAAAAAAGGTAATTAATGAAAACTTTGAAGTAAATCATAAATCATGTTAAATCAGGATTATAGGCTCCAATGCTTATAACTCCTTCTCCTTATTTCTATTGTTTATTAAAGGAATAAAAATAATAAATTTTAGAAAAAAAGGAATAAGAAACTTAGAACAAATTTCAAAAATAATAAAAAATAAAGAAAATTAATCCATATTACTAATTAAGACACCTAAATGATTTTTGGAGTAAACTCTAAAATGAGTTAATTTTATATAAAAATGCAAAGACAGAACTTAGATACTAACAAATGGAAGTGGATGGAGTTTATTTTGAAATTTAAGGTTTGATCAAATCTATCATATGAAATTCTTCTGAGTATCGATAATATTTCAACTAAATATATAAAATCATTTTTCCTTATCTTTACATTGTTGGATTAATTAAATCAAGTATTCTTCATAAATATTGTCAAACTACATATGAGATAATATATATTAATATTACAGTCTTTCGATATTTGTAAACTATCTTTTATTCATTAGAAACATCATTTAAACATTTATGAAATTGTTTAATATAAGACCTATCCTTTTAGAAGCTTTTTAATTATCTTATATTTTCAAAATTTTGTAATTTTTCTGGAATTTATAAGGATTTGTCAAAATTTGAGAATAAATGTTTTGCCTAATTTAAATATAATAATTTACTTTTTGTCTATCATCATTTCTAATATCTTTTCCATTAATTTAAATCATAGATGGAAATCTATATACCAAAAATTAAAACATGAAAGAACAATTATTAATTGGATTATTCAGTATTGTTAATTTTTGAATTTCACTCAAATGCTTGGGTATAGATAAAGATAACTTACTTCCAATTTGGCTAATTATAAAAGACTATTGATGTAATTATCTTTCAAAACTAATTCTTTTAATTTTGAATAATCTTTTAAAATCGATAATTAAGTGTCAATAATTGAATCAAAAAATACATATTGAAAATGAATTTTTTCAATAATTTAGCTAAAATTTTAAGTTGGTAATACCATAGCTGATGCAGTTCCATATATCAGCAAAAAGACATCCTAAATAATATACACAAAGGTATACATCCTCAACTTCAGCATGTCCTCCTTCAACTAGTTGATGATCTAAACAACTCTTCTTATTAAATTAATTATTTTTTTCTAGCAATTAGATTCTTTTATATTCAGCTGTCCATTGCTTTTTGATCAATACTAAAATATCATCATCTTATGCAGCAGCTGTATTAGTTAAAGAACTTTTTAAACTTGGTATTGTTTCTCTTAATGGTTGTTATTATTATTATTAAGTTGTAGGATTTTTATAATTATTAGGGTCTTTTTTAATTTAGGCAAAAGGTGCAATTTCATCCTTTGTTTTAAATTCTGAAGCAACTCCATGGATTTCTAGACCCATTTAATTAGGTTTTTTTGGTTTTGATTATTGTTATAATTATTATTGTTATATTTGTTATTAGTTAATAGTTTTCTTTTTAATTGGTTCAGTTTTTGGTATATCAGCAAATAAAATCTCTTGTTTAATTTAATCGATAGGTTTTCCGTCTAATATTTTTAATGTCTCAAATGTTTAGCATATATATCTGTAATAATCAGATTTATTGGTTTGAATTGGGTTATTTTCTAGAGATAATTCTGATAAATTGAAAATACAAGGGAAAGAATTAATCTTGTTTTAGGACATAAATAATTTTGATAATTAAGGAAGAACTATATCAGAAATATGAATATACCTTATAAATGATCTATATTCTCTATTTAATTCATTTTAATGTTTAATTCTATTAAAGAGTTTAATTCTTCAAGTGCTTCCAATTTGGTTATTAGATTATTACCAACATTCAAAATTTTGAGACTTTTCAATTTGCTTAATCCTTCCAAATTAACTATACGATTGCTATGTAAATCTAGAACTTCTAATTTAGTGAGATGATCTAAATTTGATATTCTTCTGATTTAATTTTTGGGCAACAATAACACTTTTAATTTTTAAACTTATTTCAATTCATCGATTTCTTTTATTTAATTATCATACAAGTCTAAATATAATAGATTAGGTAATGAGACAAGATTTTGAATGGATGATATTCTGTTATGCTAAAATGTTAAGATTTTTAACTTTTCTTCTCCCTCTAATAATGGCATATGAGTTAAATCTAAATAATCAAGACTTAATTTTTCTAAGTTATTAGCTCGTTCCATAGGTCTTCTATAACAAACCCAAATGCCAGGTATTTGTTATAATTCAGAGAAGATTATGTTTCCTCCATTCTCAATCTTTTTGATGGTTCCATTTTTAACTAAATATCGATACCTTTTATAGGATATATATATGTTACCTTTCATCGATTTCAACTTGAAGGATATCTTGAAACTCTTGAGAGTAACAAAGTATGTCATTCTTAGTTTTCTTTTTAGAAATTTCAGGCAGTTAACTTGAAATAGGTGTTTGATTTGATTAAGTTGGCTTATATGTTGTTTTTTTGGAAAAACCAGTAGAGTAGGTAGCATTAGCTTCAGAAGATCTTTGATTCTTATTTGGAGACATTGATGATTTAGTCTAATCAAAATAATTTGAATTGTTACATATGCATAGCGTGATTCTTTATTCATTAAAATAATAATGTATAAAAATGAACTAGACTATACTGCAAACTTAAAACTAATAGATGATATTACTTCAAAAGAGTTCAAGTAATATGAAGTAGGTCATCGAAAAACCTATTCTTAGCCAGATTAAGTTTAATTGAAACGATAACCTGATAGGTTGGGTAATTATTTTATAATAAAGATTAGAAATTTCAATAAATCAAAGTATAACCTTACAAATGTACCCAAGCATCTTCAAATATATAAAAATTAAAGTGAAAGAACTAATAAAACCATTAAATTTTGTCTATGAATCCGATAATAATTAATGTTTAATCAAGATATTTGTATCATCAATAACTGATAGTCCAAATATATTAAATAATAGTTTACAAGTGATTGTAAAAATAGTCATCTATAGATTAGAATAAATCAAGATTTTAATTTACTGAACCTCCTTCTCATTTTACAAAATTCAAATGTGATTATGTATACTTATCCATTTACACTGATAAATATACTGATTTAAAGATCAAAGCAACAGTTGGAGTACATCAATCAAACACAAATAGAAGTATATAGAAAAGTTAACAAACACCTATTCTATAAATTCCAAGAGAATTATTGACTACTCGAGAACCAGGCAGTTACACATATAGAAGTAATTTCTCATGTATAAGATTAATCTAAATTTTAGTAATGCCTAAACCAAAAACTAGTTCATCATTTATTAGGTCGAATAAAGAATCTCAAGTCAAATTTAAATTAATATTGGATTTTAAGATAAAAAGTACTAAACAAAAGAATTCTTTAATCGAAGAAATGATGAAGAAAAAGTCTATGATTTAGCATAATAAGAAATTACAAATTTTGGAATCTTCTTATACTCATGAAATTGATAGATTGTAATCCAGAGTATAAAGATTAAGAAGTGAAATTAAATTACATATCAGCAATATAGATATGTTATGGCTTGAAATTCTATTTATTACATTGTTAGCTAAAGCAATCAAGCATTAATATTATGTATGTTTAAATTTAAATAGAAACGAGTCATGAGAATAGTAATTAGTAATAAAGTTTAAGTTTGTTGTAGAAAATTCATGAGAATTATGCTCAATAAGATTAGTTCCAGATATTAATATGGCAAAAAAGAGGCTGTCTATCTTGATACAAATATTCTATTTTATTTTGGTGCCAAACTTATGAGATGCAAAGCTAAATAAAGGGCTTATTCTATACTTAATCATTTCCTCTATAGATATGGCCATCTATCAAATGGAATGAATAAAATGCAATAGTTTAATTAAAAGATTAAATATATCTAACAGAAGTGGAAAACATTTAAGAAATCTGAAGCCAATTACTTAAATAGAGTTGCTGACTAAATTATTGATAAATGGGGCATTTTATATAGAGAGATTATTGTGGAACTATAAAATGCCCCTAAATCTGCTCCTACTTAAGATAAAAGATTACTCTTAGAAACTATTTCTGAAAATCTTAATAACTACAAAAGAGCATTCCTTTAATTGAATAATATATTTGATAAATTGGCTAGTGGAGCAACTGTTTTTAGACCAATGAATAATATTATTATGAAAGATATCATGCATCAATATGTTATTAAAAAAGCCAATAAACTTTAATGATTTATATATATTTATTCATATATATTAATATTGTATACAAGTAGATTAATATATGGTGAGTCAAGATTTGATATTGCTATGACAGATCTAACTAATTAAATAAAATTGTTACTTCAGCTATAATAGATTAAAGTGATTCCAGTAGCAATTCATCCATCTAATTAATATTAAAATACTCTTACAAATGGAAAAATTTTAATCATACAGTTAGGATTAGTCTCTCTTATCAATGACTCTACATTTTAATCTCTCTATAATAATATAGCTGCATTAAAGAACCTATAGTAATTCTCTATTATTATTATGTTTTTAATGATGGATACCTGAAAAAAAGAGATTATGCTTATTTTTAGGATTATTTTAAATCCAGAAATGTAGACCAAAATGTTTATCATTGACATCATATTCTCTATAAAAGAAATCGTAATCAAATGTTTAACGAACATTTGGTAAATTATCAGTAGTTATTGATCTATTTCTTACACGCTTTAAAATTTGTAAGAATTCTTATTCATTCAATTTTATTTTTGGCGAATAAATCAATATTTTCAATTAGCATATGTCTTCTACTCCTTCATCTGCAGGTATGAAATCAAAATTAAGAAAAGCTGATTCTGATAAACTCTTTTTTCTTGAACTCTCTCTTATTACAATTTATCCAATTTATTCATATTTCTTTTTTCATACAATTATAATTATACTTTCAAATATTCTTCACATGTTTAAGCATGTAAAGCTCCACTTCTACGACGTCTCTCATGAATTGGTTGTTTTTATTATTATTACATACCAAATTATAAATATTTTAATATAAAAATTGGTCATTAAGATTCTTCATCATTTATTTTAGGAGCTAAATATAACTTTAGTGATCCCATCTCTTCAAGTACATATTCAATCACTAATGGTTAATCTTAAGACATTGACAATACAACTTAATTTGATAATGCAGATGCTTTATTAAATAAATTAAAATATCTATTATAACCATTATACATATACCTAACTGCAAAACTTAAATTTACTGGTTCATCAACATCACATTCTACTCTCTCTTCTATTTTCTCTGTATCATAAGCTTTAACAGAAACTTGTCCCTCTCCAATATCACCCTTTACATAAAATTTTATTCCATCTTTTGATGTCTCAATTCCTATTGCTTCATTAATGTTTCCTAACTCTCTACATATCTTTGTGAATTCATTTGATGGCATTCTAACTACAGAAGAATACTCTGTATCAGGTACACCTAATTATTCCTAATCTAATGACATCAAATTTAACTAAAATTCACTTATTCTATCTAATCTATAGATATTAAATATACTTTTTGATTCAAATGTAAATGATAATGTTGTTGGTTCTTCATCTTAAGTTCTTAAAGTTATTTAATCATCATTTCCTGAGCATTTTAGAATTTTTTACAAATTTTCAATACTTAACCCCATAGTCAAAGATTTCTCACATCTATATTTTTTGAATCCCTTTTCATTTAATTACAAAGCCACCAAGGCCACATGTGATGTATCCATAGCCTTATTGTATATAATAATATTGTTACTTATAATGAAATTCCTGTTCCATTTGCTTCTAAATTTACATTCTTTACTAATTCCTTAACTGCCTCAACAATCTTTTTGAATTAAACTCCATCATTAAACTTGGCTTCGAACATCTGTATACTTTTCTTAATATTTAAAATTAATTAAAGAGGGAAATGTTGTAAATTAGATTTGCCGGGTAATTAGTTTTTTCTTATTTTTACAATATTTATTTCTCATTAGTTATTCTAAAAATTAAATAGAAATTCTATAACTTTTTTTTTTCAAACTTTTTACATCGATTAATCTAAAATGATTCAAATAAGCATTAACTTATTATCTCAAAAACATCAATAGTATTTTTTATAAATTTTATACTAATTTCTCCTGACTTAAAACTTAGTTGAAGATAAAACTATATATTAAATGAATATTTATGATTTTATCTTAATCAAATACTTATAATATCATCGTTAACACAAACAAAAGTTTTATTAGAATTCTATATAAAAAGAATATAATAAAATATTTTTTTTGAAAAAAATAAAAAAACTTAAAAATGAAAATTTCGATAATTTTTTGAAGTAAGTTTATATATAATCAAAGAGCTGGATAATCTATTAAAATTTCAGGTTTTTTTCTGTTTATAAATTTATTTCTTCTCAAACTGAATTGATCTATAGATTCAGTTAAGTTTGAATAATAATTGTCTTATTTTTTTTTTGGATCCGTACAGAATTGCAAATTTGATTTTCTCAAATACTCTATTATTGATCTGATCTTAGGATTAGGTTTATGATAAATTTCTAACTCTATTGAGTCTAAACTTGAGTTTAAGGAGTCTTGCATTATAATTTATGAATTTATATTAATAAAACAAATTTATTAAAATTCCAATTTAAATATAATACTGTCATAATAATCTAATATAAAATGATAAAACTGATTTAATCAAAATTTTATTTGTAAAAAAAATTGTTTTAAAATTTTTAGTTTGTGAATTGCTATTCATAATTATGAATACTAATAGAGGAGATAATTAATTTGTATTTATTAAAAGGTTTCTGTAATTTTATATATCATTATCATCTAAAAAAATATAGCAATAATTCATTATTATAGAATAACATCTATAGAATTTAGTAAAATTGAAATGAGAAAGAGGAAATAATGAAATTATAATTATTATATTCAATTGTTATTTATAACAGAAAATCAATTACAATATTAGTACGCATTTTCTTTATCATCTGTAGAAACAGAATGATCTTTATATAATAAAATATAATTACATTATCTATTAGATCCTTTTCCAGACTTATCATTATTTGTTGGTTTCTTTTCACTATTGGCAAAACTAAAGTTACTTTGTCTGGAATTACAAGTAAATGTGATTGGTTAAGTTTTATTTTTTTATGAATATGATTCATTTTAGAATTAAACTAATTTTTAGGATAAATTGGCAGAGAATTCTTCATCATCTAGGATTCTATTTAAAATTTATTCTTATAATGGACTTGGTTTGATAAATGAAGAATTATCATTAATATCCTAATTTTCTGTAAACCCTGTATTTGGGTATGGCAGTTAAAATTTAACAGGTTTACAAATTAATTTTGGTTTATTAGAAGCATAAGTTTAATTGGGACGATTTGATTATTATTTGATTATGGGTTGATATGTTGATATTTATGAGATTTCTGTTTAAAATGTATCATTATGATTAGTCATTTCTTCATATGAAATAGTTTATTTAGCTCTAGAGGATGATAATTTTGATTCAAGTGAACCTATTTTAATGTTTGCTTTATGTAATTTTTATTTTAAGTTCATGACATAATTGTCTATTTTCATAATATATTGATTATCCTATAAATAAGAGTTTACAAATACCCTTTGTTAAATTCTTTTTAATTCCTATAATTCTTCTAGAGCTTATTTATATTCTTGATCTCTTTCATTTAATTATTTTCTTAACTTAGATATTTCCAACCTATAAGATGCATCTCTTTATTGTAATTTATGTATTGTCTTGATTTTATAATTTCAAATTACTTCTTTTAATTATTATGTGGACTATTATTACTAGCTGTTACTTCTCATTAAATTGTTTAATTATTAAAATTATAATACTTATCTATTATAATATTCCTTCTTTTTGAACTAGACTTAAGTATAAAAGTGAGAATAAATTTAAATTATTATACTTTATTGTTAAAAATTTATGATTAATTTGAAAAAAATACTAAATGTCTTCTTTAATAATATAAAGGTTTTCATTTTCATTTAGAGATTATTAAAAAAGATGTTTGATATAATAATTTAGATTATAATAGACTTTACTTATTATTAGAAAAATAAACTGATTTTGACTATTAAAACAATAAATCTTATATAAATAAATCAATACAATAATTCTTAAAAGCATTTCAATTCTAATGTGATTGAGAATTTTGTTAATCATTTTGATTCTGACATAAAATAAATAAATTATATTAGATTAGTAATATAATCATGAAAATTATATAGTTTTTATTAATAATTACATTCGCAACTGGACACTAATAATTATTAGATGATTTAAAACAATCTTCATTTGAATAATCATTAGAATACAGTATTTTATTGTAATTTCAATATATGAAACTAAGTAAAGCAGTAAAATTAGATAGAAATCAATTTGAAAGAAATTTATAGTTTTATGTATGAAGAATAGATTATTGATGATGTTAATTTTAAACAAGAGTATGATAATTTCAATACTAATGACTTATAAAAAGAAATCATAATACTCAAAAATAAAGAATCATCTATAAAATAAAAAATGAAATTGTTAAATAATTCATATGAATTATAAGTTTCTTAATAAAAACAAAAAGAACTATAATTTATAATAAATAGATGAAAAAGAGAAAGAAAATTAAAGATCAAATCTCAAAAAATGTGATGTAGGTAAATTGTTACAAATTAGGAACTATTGGAACTTATACAATATCTATATATTTAATATGAAAAGAAAGTCTTGAATTAACTTAGCATTTAGAAGAACCATTACTTATTATATTAAAATAGGAGATGCAAAATCATATAAAAATAATTAATAATATGATAAAAAAAAAAACAGTCTAAATTCGTATTTTTAAGAATAATTTAACAAGATAACTTATAATTATGAAATAAAGTATCAATTATAAATTGTTAAAGAAGATATAGGAAAAAAATTAGCAGAAGATTATTATGAATATAAATATTTCAGAATCAGTTAAATTTAATAACTATTAAATATTTTAAATCTTGCAGAGAGAGACATGTTTTTGATTAAAGGTCATTATGTATATATTCTCCTTTTAAGAAATCTATTATTTTTACACAGCTAAATATGAAAATCAATAATAATAATTTATCTAATATTAAAAGATGATAAAAATTAGATGAATCTTAAAATTTAATTTATAAATGATTATTGATTTTCATATTTGATATTATATTAGGAGTAAATAAAATATTTACTAAAATAAAAAGTTTGAATATAATAAATTAAAAAATTAATATTTGGATAATGCATTATATAAAAATCATTGTTATTATTTTTGTTAATTTTGAAGTTCGTAGGTCATTTTAACAGGAAGAAACTCAGATGATCTATTTTCCATTTAATCTTTGATATACTTTTCCAATTAATTACATTCTGTGATTGGTTTTTTCTTAATATATATTAAATAGAAAAGCATATGATACACATTATGCTCCAAATAAATATGTTAATACCATCCATTTTTAGTTCTAAATTTATAAGATATAAAATTACTTAGAATCAATCTCATTTCTATCGAGACTACAAATAAAACATTTTCCTTAGATATCTTTCAAAAGTTCTTATCTCTCATCACGCAATTCTCCAAACTTATCAACAATGATACCGAAAATCATTTATAAAAACAAGATATTAAAGATAATAAAAAAGGTGATGTCAAAAAAATATCTCTTCCAATATTTTGCTGGATCTTCAAAAGGATCAGCATAATCAGATAGAGTATCACCAATTCCACCACCATTTCTTAAACCGAAATTTATAACATGTGCTATTGAATAACCTAATGAATCTGAAGCAAATTTTGTGTCATCCTTGAAATCTTCACTAAATGATAATTTTATTAAAAATCCATATAAAACCAATCCAATAAGTCCTAAAAGTCCAAATATTAATAAGTTTTTAGTATTTTCAGTAAAAGCTTTAATGATATTCTACAAAACCTCTGATCTTTTTACAATATCTAATAATAATATTGCATAAACATAATTATTAAAAAATGCAACAGCAGTAATTCCAAAGATTATTAACTATATAATTAATATGTTATTTTACATTATAGAAATTATCGAAATCAATCAATAATAATACAATTATTTTTCTAAAAGGATTTTTTCTAACTTATTATTTTTCAAAATTGTTTTCCATATATCCTACAAATTCATAATATTTCTTCTTGTATTCTGGTATCTTAAATCCTGCTTCAATTTTTAGATTCTGAATTTATTTTACATTAGTTTCTCCTCTTCTAAAATTAACTGCAATAGGGTATCTTTCTATTGCACAAAATATAATAATAATTAAATTTAATACTAATTAAATCACAGTTATAATCTATTTAATATATAAGACTTACATTATTTAAATACAATACTATTTATACTTTTTTTGAATCAGTAATTATTTCGTCTTCATCATTATCTCCCTAAACCAAATTTCCATCTGCTATATCATCAGGCAGTAAAATAAAGAATAATACAATAACCACACAAAGAATGTAAGATATATCCTTTAAAGTTCTCCAATGTTTTTATCCAAAATGCATTATAGGTATAGTACTAACATTCTAATAATGAGCCATTTAAGAATGATAAAAATTAATATTCTCTAAAAAACTTGTAATTCTATCCTCGTCTGTTTCTCTGTTAGATTCATATATTAAATTTTATTTAATATTTTAAGTCATATATTTGCAAACAAATGGTTTCTAAAATAAAATTCTTTCTATTTAACCAAATTAATTTACTACTTCTATTCTTCCAATAAATTCTCTATAAAATAAAAAGAATTCATCTTCTCTTGATACTTAAACTAATTTAGCTTCTGTATGTTATTTATCTTCACTAATGTCATCAAATAATTCGTTATTCACTTACTAAGTATCAACAACTCTTTAATAATATTCAGGATGTTGACTTATAGAAAATGTTTTTTCAATTACATTTCTCAAACTTATATTTTAGTAAATTTATTCTTCTTAAATCAAATCTTTTTCTATTGTCATGCTTTCAAATTAAAATATTTTAAATTTTTAATCATTACTATAATTAGATAGTTTTAAACCGATAATAAAAATATTTAAGCCTGTCTCAATTAATAAAGAATCCTCTCTTGTTTTATAACCATTTATACAGAAACTTTTATTACATAAATTGTCTTTACATGGAAGTCTGCAATATTTGTCAACACAAATTACAGATTTTTTAGGATTGATTCTAATATGATATATTTTTTTTGCTAATGACATAAGAAATTCATTATTTAAATTTTCTAATAAAAATTTATATACTTGTTTATTTTCATTTGCATTCCCTTCCAATAATGATATTAATAATTAAATGTATATGTATAGAGTTTACAATAATTAAAAATAAATGTTTGATATTTTTTTTGATTAAGGAACTAAGGCTTTATCTAGATCTGCATGATTAAACAATTCATTAAATCCTGAAAATAATCGAGAATTCTTTGTGATTTCTTTTTTATTTTCATTAAGACCAGTTGAAAACTCTATTAAACTTAATAAACCCTATTGATACAATTCCCATTTCTTTGAATTATCTACAGATTTATCTAATAAAAAATTAACCATTAAATTAGTAGTTTCTAAAACAAAATTAAAATTATTTGTAATTGAATCTTATTAATTTTAAATTCTCAAAAACTTTTAAAATTCTATATGAACATTTTCACATAATCCTTATAAAACTTATAAAACTTTAATACATATATTTAAATAATTAGTATTCTTAGATAAACTTAATTCTTCCAACTTTATACCTACATCAGTACTATAAAAATCTTTAAAGAATTGTATGAATATTTTCTTATGTTTTTTATGATTCTATAATAAGGTGTAAAATCTTTATTGTACTTATGAATTACCAAAATCTAATAAAAGATGTAACAAAGCTAGACAATCTAATTATTCAATTGTGTTTTAATGATTTAATTACTCAATTGCAATAACATGAATATCACATTCAGCTATTATATTTTGGAATGTTGTAAATTATTCAATAGTATTCTAATTATCTTTTTGATTTCCCCTTTCATTTATATCTTCTTCTTCATCAATTTCACCTTAATTTATATAATTCTTAATTGGTTTTTTCATTTCCAAAAATATTTTACAGAATTTTATTAAATAATTAGGATACTATGAAAATATTTATTTACATTTAATTATAAATTCCTTAAATTTCTCTTCTTAAAGTAAACTATCTGCTTGTTAACTTAATTCATGTAAAAAGAATAATATTTATACATCTTCTGATAATGGATTTAAAATTTCTCCTTAATATCCTTTTTTTATGAATGTCTTCTTGATTTCTTCTTCTTTTCTCTCCTAAAATTTCTCCTTTAAAACTTATAAGTTTAATTCTTCTTTCAATCTTTCTTATGCCTAAGTTGTAATTTCATTTAAATCAATTTAAGTATTAAATGCTTTTTTAAAATCAACCCAATTCTCTGAACTTTATTAATGAGAAGCCTTATTAGGTCGAATAAGACTAAGATCTAATTATTTGATGTAAATCTTGTTATTCTGATTACATATTTCTTTTAACTTTTATATTCTATCTTTCTAATTCATTTATTCAATATAGTCTATTAAAAATTAGACTGAAATCTTTTATCTAATACAATATATTTATAATCTAGTTTAAAGATTGAACTCAACTTAATTCTTTACAAATAATTCAATTATTTCAGATATTTATTATATATATTCTCTTTTTTCTTATATCAATGGACTAGAAGAATTTAGTAATATTCCTTTAATTAATGTATTTATCTTAGTATATTCTTCAACAAAATTGATATCATTTTATCTTTCTGGAACTCTAAATTCATCAATAACTGAAATAAGAAATTCAAATACTTATAGTATATATTTCCAATACTCTTTATTATTAAGTAATATAAGATTTTCTAAATTATGAGATTTTTAAAATTATTACATCTTTTATAAATCTGGAATAATAATTGAAGTAATTAATTCTTTAAGTTGATAATTATCTATTAGATCTCCTATTAGATTATTTGATTTAACAAAATTGATGTATAATTCAAAAATACATTTTAAATAGGCAGCCTTTACAATATATGGTTCATTCTGCAATACTGATGTTAACTATTCAAAAAGTAATATTCTTTAAGTTTCAGATATTCCTAAATAATAATTTTAACAAGTTTCTGAGATTAGATTAAGAGCAGCAGAATGAAGTTTGAGTTAATAATATCTAAGAATACTAGATTATATTTGCTTATCTTTGAGGTTTTTATCTTCAAAATATTATAGAGGATCTATAAGATTTCTAAAATTTTGAAGAATTAAATGTAAGATTTATTTTTGATTACTTAAATGATTAAATTTAGGTTTTGAAGCAGTTTTCGTAAATTCTTTTATGATTTTTAAATATTATTTAGCAGCTCTTATATGAGTTATATTTTCATTTAAATTTAGTTATTTACATATATTCATTATTATATCAATAATGATATGTGAGGCACTATCTAATTATAGTTTAGAAATTTATAAGGATTTATATAAAAAGTTGTCATGTTGGGGTTATGGTAATAATATGATTTTT